AATAGCGTTATCACACTAGTCACCAAAACTTTTACGAAAGTTCTTATTTTAACTGCCACTTGTTACCTGATTTAAAAGGAGGACGACTGACTCTCTCCCAGGAGATGCTATGAATTACTTCATCATTCTCTTAGGAAAGAGCTGAATCTCACCAGCTTAATTGTATTCTCACCAAGTTAGGATATCTGAATCATAGCTTTTTTTTTTTTTTTAAAGCACTACGAAGTGAAAAATAAAATGTTGACCTCAATTTTCCTCCGGAGGGCCTGAAATGAGGATACAGGACGAGATCTCTTGTTCTCCTAAACAGAAGTTGAGCCAATAACATAGGGTATGAGCCAAAGCAATGTCTGGTGTCCTGGAGCTAAAGAAAATGTTGGCACTAGGTGCTGACTCGCAGCTGTTTCAGTCTCACTCAGTGACTGGTCCCACTCTGCAGCCCAGTTTGCCTTTGGAAACAGCACAGCTCGTTATTCTGCAGCCTGTGATTAAAACCACTGACAAGGGAGGTTTTCTTTATGTTTTAGCTCTTTGTCTCAAAAGCTTTAGAAACCTTGACAAGTGCTGCTACGAAATGCAGATTACTTATTTTTTTTAGAAAGAAGACGCATAGAGATTTCTTAATGTGTACATAATTGGGCATATTTTTATCAACAAACTAAATGCAATCATGGGAAAAGATACCTTTTTAAGATGGAAAAAAATGACTAATTTAACCATACACAATGCCGTTATAAGAAAGGAGTTCTGTGACTTCATTCACTTACCATGTGCATTTTTAGGTTGCTAACCAGAGTCTGCCAACAACCCCTAGGGAGGCAGACCTTTCTAACAGCAGAGCCCTATCCTAAGGAACTAAAGAGCTTAAAAATTAGGGAGGAGGCCATATTTTGACTTAAAACAGCTGTGCCTGAATGTGAAAGGGGATAAAAGGTGAAATGAGCCTAGTCTAGACACTCTGAATTCGCCGACTGGCCAAAGGAACAGTAAGAAAGGGTTACAGTTCTTTCCATAAATGTCAAGGAAATAATTCCATTGGGGAAAGTTCATTCATTTTTTTTAGGAAATTGATTTATAAAAAGCAGGAACATTATGTTCATGCCCAGAAAACCATTGGTGGTAAATCAAATAACTTCATTTAATTGCATACATTAGTTAAACTTTCCTCATATTCTAAGACACTATAAAATAAGTGACTATCTGGGATCTTTTGTATATCAGAGCAAGCAAAAAATCAGGTAACGGATACCTTTAATAAATTAAAAGATTCAATGAAAAAAAAGAATTTCATTCTCTAGTTTAATTAAGTGAATGGTAGTGAATTTGGAACTGATAGCATGGGCTAAAACTATTTAAGTGTTAGTAAAGTAAATGGCCCCTAAACTTTTACTAGTATCTCATTAAATCCTCTCAATTTTCATTGGCACCTCATTAAATACTTTATTTAAATAATATTTAAATAATTTTTCCAAAACCCAAGTTTTCACCTTTGTATAAAAGTAAAACTTTTATGTACACTAAGTAACATCTTTCTAAAGTGAATAATATTATTTCCCACATTCTCAAATATACTGTAAATCAAGAATTCCTAACCTGGGAGATCACAGACCCGAGAGGAAAGGGTTCCATGAATGGTTGTGTAGGGTCCAAAAGCCCTTTGAAATTATATGCAGAATTATGTAGCCTGGCTGTACTTCTAATCAGCTCTCAACGTGATCCGGAACTTGTAAACACTAGCACGTTTTTGATGAATCAGGATGGTCATTATGAGCATCTACTCTTGGACCACCATTCTGGAACACAGTCATGTCCTCGGGACATATTAAAATAAATAGGTCGATTTGTCCAGGCACAAAACTGACTCCAAATTGTCATTTGTTAAGCACTAGTCAACAATAGAGGTACAGTAAAATTCACCGTGAGTAAAACATTCTCTAAGTAAGAATTTATTTCTAGACATTCCTCAAAGAATTTCTTTCCTCAACTTTTTCCGCTAAAGCTATAAGTTAGAGTCTAATTATAGGTCACAATTGATGATTAATACATTAAAAGTTACCTATTAATTTGTACATCCACATTGCCCAGCACGCAGCATGACACACAGCAGCTTCTCAATTAGCTGTGTAACGTGATTACCAAAAAGTTTCATAGTATGAGAAACTTCTTTATTCCACTCCCTGTAGTTTACAAAAAAATGCCATAAAATTATTAATGCACATAAATATGCCTATATAAGACCTTCAGGTTTTATTCAACTAGTGTTTCTTATTTTATTGTTGTAAATAATGAAATCTCAGAGAAAGTTTTGGTTCTCTAACTTTCTGAATCAGCTTCAACACCTAAGATTCTAAATCAATCATTTGGGTAAATTCAGGCAAGTAACTTTGCCTCTTTAAGCCTCAGTTTCTTCATCTAGAAAATAAGGGTGTTGGACAAGATGCTGATCACATAGTATCAATCAGGTCTTAAATTATGTAATAATGTTTTGAAACTTTGTTAAAGTAAAATTTTCAAAAATTTAAAATCATGAATCCCAAGCAAATAAAAGTATATGAGTTGGCAGTCAAAAGTGTATTAAAGCAAACTTTTCAAAAAAACATAAAACTGTGACTCCTAGGCATCTGTAAAATGAGCATATATCAAAGATTTTATTTAAACAATTAATTAAAGAGGGAATCACTAAAGTGGTAAAATCATTTCAAAGAGTATGTCAAAAGCTAATATTTATACTCAAAGTTAGGATAAGATTGCTTCACTAGATATACAACCAGTTAATGTACAACAGGGTAATAAACTGTAAAATCATTAGGGTTATCTTTTTCACCAGACAGAAATTATATATATATATATATAAAAAACCCTCAAGAATCTCTTCTGGCTGTTGCCAAGTGTCGGATAACTTTTCTGACAAGTGGAATTATTTTTCATGAATAATAAATAGTTCTTAGTTCTTGGTAATACCATTTAGTTTTTAGAGAAAGTCTTGCTCATCTTTATTTGATCCACATCCAATTTCCCAAACATATTTCAGGCTAATGCCCTACACTTGCCTCACTTTGTTCTGTGCTGGGATAAGCGTTAGAATATCCTAAGACATTTTTTAGATAACTCTACATCTAGGATATTTTATTCATTAGCTATAATGTAAGATATATTTAAAGGCACAGTGGAAAAAAACAAGCAATTACACAAGTTTAGAGGTTATAAATATTTTGAGCATAAGTGTAAGACCTTTTTATTTTGAGAAGTTCCACAGGTACCTACCTAATATATTTAACAAATATGTATGCTCTAAAGGAACCTGTGAACATAATTGTAAGACTCACCCAAAGCAAAGAAAGCCAAAAATTATCCTCTTATAGTTTATGATATCTGTCAACTAATTTGCATACTACCTAAAACAATGCTTTATGTACACCAAGAGAAAGTATAACACCACTAATAATAATATCAAATATATGTCTACACAAATACAATTCAATATAATTCTTGACTATTTAATTGTTTCTTTTACCATGCATAAAGGTAGCAAATATTTACCTATACTTAACTTCTAAAAAGTACCCATCTACAAAAGAAAATGAACTCATCCACAAAAGGAAAAGGATGCATCTTTAATTTCTAATATTTTATTACAGATTTTTAAGACCACTGTTGTTTTCAGATCATCAACTTAAAGAAAACAAATCACTCAAGAAGAGCTTTTGTATGTCTGCCAAGGTAAATTGTTCTATTTTAAATTTATCAAGTTATAAATAAACCACAGAATGTGCTTATGAGAACCAAACCACAGCATAATCTGAGTATATTTGAAAGGCACAGAGTTCATTTCATTGTTTCAGTAAGAGGAATGAAGAGCATTACTTATTGGAATTAAAAGCCTAGCCTTCCGCTATCTATTGTTCAAAAATAATACAGCATGAATTATTCACTGATTATAAGACAAAATACATTGTTAAAAAAGCAAAGGTGACTACAACTAACATGTGTCCCTAGAGTTTTTGTTTAATATTAAGCATCTCGGAAGAAATGAAGGCATAAGAAACAAAGCCAGACCCATATAGGAGAGGACCAAGCTGCCCAAAAGCAGTAGCTTGAGACACAAAATTAAAGTTCACTTCTAAGAAGCCTGGAATTCCCACCACCTATATCACAACTTTATATTTCATAAAAAGCATATTAAGATGCAAATATGCCACTTTGATAGACAAGGTATAAGGCAACGTGACAGAGTTATTTCAAGTCAGTGGCTCAGAGTAGAACCTAGGTCCTCAAACTTTTGTTTGGTCAATTTTTCATTAATATAATGATTAATTAGAAGAAGAAAAAAGCAATCTTAAAAAGGCCAAATAGCCGTAGCTAGCCTAGCTGGATAGAGCGTAGGCCTTTGGACTAAAGGGTCCCAGGTTTGATTCCGGTCAAGGGCCAATGCCCAGGTTGTGGGCTCAATCCCCAGTGGGGGCATGCAGGGGGCAGCTGATCAATGATTCTCTATAATCATGGATGTGTCTATCTCACTCTCACTCTCCCTTCCTTTCTGAAATCAATAAAAATATATATTTTTAAAAAGGTCAAGCCGAAACCGGTTTGGCTCAGTGGATGGAGCGTCGGCCTGCGGACTGAAAGGTCCCAGGTTCGATTCCGGTTAAGGGCATGTACCTGGGTTGCGGGCACATCCCCAGTGGGAGATGTGCAGGAAGCAGCTGTCGATGTTTCTCTCTCATCGATGTTTCTAACTCTCTATCTCTCTCCCTTCCTCTCTGTAAAAAATCAATAAAATATATTTAAAAAAAAAAAAAGGTCAAAAATAAAAGGCCAAATATAACAGGTAAACGTGGAGACTCAGCAGAGCCAAAGAGCACTCTGAATATGTGAGACCAGAGGAAGACACTCAGGGCCGTACAGGGAAAATCACACAGGATAATGGTCTGAAGACCAATTTGCCAAAGGGAAGCCCAGCAAGTCAGGATGCTAAATAGCAGTACTTGAATACAAGCCTAAAATAGCTATAATTAGATGCTAAAACGATTCCTTTCTCCTTGGTCTATCTTCTCCTGTACTTAACATGTTACTTTTAACATTTTGACCCTATACTTTTGTATGAATTAGAATCTATAGCTATGCTCTCATTGTTATTAAAAACATTCTTAAACTTATTATTTAAAACATTCTTAAACTGTATTTTAAAACTTTCAGGGAAAGGAAAAGTCAGCATATCAGCTTTTAAATAAGGGGTGGGGTATATGGGATGGGAGGGCAATGATGATTTATTCAAGATCTGAAACCTCTATATGAATATTTGTCATACATAACAACATGGGTATCTTCCAAGGATATAAGGACCCAATACATGAACACTACATGCCACATCCTCCCACTAATTAAAAAGTTGGTAGAGAGAGTTTGAGGAGAATTCTTTAAGGCTTAATAATACCCAAATATGCTGTTTTAGTTCTAGTCATGTGCTTTCCATTAGGACAAATTACCAGAATCCAGTTTTAATTTATTTAGTTCACATTTCTTATGTCAGAATAAGCCAAGCAATATATTTAAACATAGTCAACATCTAATCCTATTACCAATATTTAGGCAATATCAATCAAATCAGCTTAAATGTAATTACACCGAACAAATTTGAAGAAATCTATTCTTTATGAAATATACAGAAATTATATATAACCCCTGTAGAAATTACAAATTTTTTTAAAATAACATCTTTAAAAGGGGGGGGGCTACTCCATAAGTACAGTTTCAAGTAGATAAATTCAAATCTTAAAATTAATTTTTAAGCCACTAGACGTAAATTGGACCAAAATTGAGAGGGCAAAACTACCTAACATATAAATTGTCAGATTTGGACTACTTCTACACTGACGACAAAAATTTCTAAAAGGGAATGGAAAATGTGATTCTTGCTGCTCAGAATCACAGAAACAGCTAATTATTTATAGGTACAATAGAATATAAACTGGTAGTTTTGCAAACAGCTCACCATTTCTATTTAGAATTATTGTAGGCACTGATATATTTGTAGGTCATGTGCCTCGGTTTTCCAGTTTAGAGGTGCCGCTGGGTAAGTGCGGGGACTTCTGTTTTAGCAATCAGCAACAGAAATATTCAAGACTCATTCCCATTAATATTTGGTCAGACCAGTGAAAATGGCATAAAATATTTCTTAAAGGAGTCATTTTATGCTGTTCTATTCAACAATATGACAAATGTCTTAACAAAACTTGCTGTCATAATAATTGCAACCATTTTGTAATCAGATGTTGAGACTCACATGATGATGGTAGGGAAAATATAAACAAATATTATTAAGGAGAATATTTTTTAAAAGCTTTATAAGTCTGCTTATGGCTTGCAGGCCCATCATATACACTTGGTTAAATTCATTTATTTTATGTATTTATCTACTCGATCTCATTCCTAAAAGGAGTTGAAGTTTGTGTACTTGACTTAGAAACAAAAATGCATAAATGTATCTAGTCCTCTAACCAGAAGACCCTTTTGTTATTCATTCATAGGCAATACTTTGGCCCCATGTGCATTGATGTAGGTGAGAAGGATCTTGGCTCTTTGTTCTATTACATCAATAAGCTTTTCAATGCCTTGTCTACCTCCTTGACTCTCCCAATAAACTTTATCAAGAAACAGAGATTGAAGGAGTTTCTGCCGTAAGTGCTGGCTCTTCAAAACAGACACTGCAGATTCAGGAAACCTGAAAATATAAAATCATATTTCATTCTTAGTGATTGTTTGGAAATATCAGACATTGCCCAACTGCTCTGTCTTTCATCAATCTGGCATAAATCACACTATCAAATAGTACCTTGAGAATCAAACCTTTTTTTATCACTGTCAAGAAAATACTTATCTTAATAATAATATATTAGAACAACATGTTTCAAGAGAAATGAATTATCTATAGCAATGAGAAGTTGACATACCAGCATTTGACTTATGTAGGCAACAAGGTCATTATGTAGGCAACAAGAGGCACAGAATTAAAAAGGTCTCTGTTAGCCTAGCAAAAATACTTTTCTCAATCCTAAACTCCATTTCACCCGTAGAAACCACTTGAATCTGTCAAATATAATAGTATTCTCATAAATGTCAATTTGTGGTTTTATGCAAGTAAATATGAGAATCAAAATGCTGAGAAATTCAGTAAAGTTCTCTTTCCTGTGTAGACGTTGCATGACTGAATTTAAGGTAAAAAAAAAATCCAAAATATATGTAGGAAGAAGAGAAAGAATCATTCCAAAATGCCCAATTAAATAAACAAGTGTCCTTGATTCAGGTTAGACTTCAGGAATTCTGAGGATCTGGGAGCATTTTATGAAACTGGAATACTAAATTGTTTTCAAATAAACATAGTGAAACTCAAGGTTTAGAGCCAGGGCATTCCACAATGAACCATCTCTCTGGAAAACCTTACGAAGGGTCCTTATTGAATTGCCTTATCAGAGTGCTTGCTGCTCTTCATTCAGAAAGTATAAAGCCAAGGGTCTAAGACATCATCCATTATCTGAAGGACTTCATAAAATTTCTAGTTCAAAATTACAAGTAATGTTTGCTGAATCAAAATGTAAAGTAACTAGAGGCCC